GAGAAGAAAGGAAGAAAGAAAGGCATATCGTGTAGTCGCCGGCAGACGCGACGACGCCGAAGAATAAGTAAGACAGTGCGGAATAAAACCGGTGGAAAATAAAAGCGCTTTTTTTCTAAGCTACAGCCCGGGGCTGTTTTTCAAGCGCGCGCGCTCGCGCGCGTTCTGCAGATACGCGGTTGCGACAATGTACGGGTGCGTGTATAGTCCTCTGGAGCATGAACCGTGGCATCGCAGGGCAACAGCTCAAGAGAATGGAAACTATGAATGCGGCCGGAATTCAACGGCGCGGCTTATCGCCCCGCAGCCGGGTTGGAAAAAGATTTTTTCATTAATTCGATACGCGCAGTCGACTTCCATTGCTAAAATTGTTCCGCCAACTTTTCCTGCCTCGGCGTCGTTCAACGCTGTTTCCGAAAACTGAATAATAACGAATACCGCGATTCGTCAATCGAGATTTTCCAATCAGCGCAGAGAATCTCGCAGAAAAACGCGCCAAGTGTAACATGAAATAAACGGGAAAAGCTTGCGAATCAAAACTGCGAATTGGAATTTTTTTTCAGGCAAGAAGGATTGATGAAAATCGGACTATCATTCATCAGCTTTTGTGCAACAATTCTGAAATCTTTAGATAGACTTCAGAGTGACTTGCTATGTATGCGTCGATAAATAAGCTGATGGGTTTCGTATGGTTAACTTGATAAATATCAACAAAAAACAATGAAATCCAGTGGGAATAATTCGACGGTCAACACACGCGGGCGTACGTATAAATAAACCTGACCATCGACGTGTGTGCGAAAGCTTGTCGCTTTTCATCCTGTTTAGATTGGGAGATTAATAATTCCACAATAAAAGTGATCGAACGGCCAGAACGGAATATCGTTGTCGTTTGAATTTGCTCGATGAAGAGAGATTGATGAACGAACCGTGGGAGAACAAATGGACGGTATTAAGGAGTGAAATTTTCAAGTTACAAGCATTCGTCTGTGCCGAATTGAATATTCAACTGAGACGCTTATCGGCGAGCAATTTTACCGCCTTGACAGCCAATTCTCTTCTCGCATAATTTATCATTCTCTCCTGTGATTCCTTCCGTTTTCTCTCGGCCGCCGTTCCCCGTTCGGCTGAATGGCGCGAATCGTTCGCCGAAATACACACTCGTAAATTTTCGATGCACGGCCGAACGACGGATAGTCAATGATATAGTACGACCGCCCCAGCGATCCTCTCACGTGGATGCAATCAATTGTTATGATAAATTCCCGAATTACGATTCACTGGATTCGGTGTCACGGAGTCATGAAAATGCACGGGGACGAGCATCGAGAGAGGTTCAAAGATGAAACGATCCAGAGATTTATAACGCCTGCAATATTTTCAAGAATTAATCATATCTCGAGAAAATGAAATTCGCTGATTCTGCGTATTTAAACGGCAAATATTTTCGTTTTACAAACAGGATAGCTTTTATCCAATTAAACGCGAATAATTGATCCGCGGGTTTGAATGGAATTAAAGAGATGTATAGTTCCTCGTGGCTGGCTCTTTCAACGGCGGTAAGATGGAATTAAGGCAACCGTATAAATCCGGACGGCGGGAATCAAACGCGGCCGAAGTCGGGGGTTTAATCCGCGCGTAACAAACGAGCAAATTATCAGCCAATTTCTCCCGCATAATTTATCGATCTCCCCTCGACGAGGCCAGCGTTCTTCGCCCGCGCCAGACGCCGACCCGTTCCTACGTCGTCGTGCACCCGTGAAATTTCCGATACACACCCAAACATCCGGGATGCAGCGGTATCACGATCCTACGTCAACCGTCAGCTTCTCTCACGCGTACGTTATCGATTTTCATCATTTCACCGAATTCGAGGAAAGCTGATTACACCCACGCGTAAATGTTTAACTCGTACGTTCCCATCAGATTTCTCTATACTCAGTTCTGATTTATTTTTCTTATCACGTTCTTTAAAGATATCCCAAAAGTATACATATTTTATTATACAGGATGTCCTAAAACTAGTGTATGATATTGAAATGAGAGGTCCCTGACGTAATTTTAAATAATATTTTCCTTAGCAAAAAAGTTGTACGAGGCGTGGTTAAGGAGTTATCA